GACAAGAACTCAGTGACTTCTGGTAATGCAACTGGGAAAAGAAGTTACTCTAGACCCGGAGTAGTCAATCGATAAAACTTGGTATTGATATAAATCGAAGGCAATCAAGTGATTTTTATCGATTGATAACAGAAATCGGTTAAAATCGATAAACTAGATTGCTGTGTCAAATTAATATTATTGATTTTTCATGATTTTAACAATTTATAACAGTACTTCCAACATTGTTGTTTTCTGGCATAAGTGCAGCTGAGAAAACTCATCCACGAGTAACAACTGATCAACAAACATGAAAATAAGAAATGTGGAAACTATTACAGTCACAAGAGTCTCTCTAAAACCGTGACCCTTTTGTACATGATAACAGGAACGGTTCGGTTTTATCATTATTACATCAAAGGGATGCCCAAAATTCAGACTAAAAGATTTCTCCGGATAGCTTTTCACCATTTTCCGTTATCAATCGATAAAATCACTTGATCGCTAACTATTTTTATCGATTTAGTTTTTTATCTATTGGCTACTCCGGGAAGTAACTACAGGCGGAACTGAGGTTATTTTGAATGGGCGGCAGATCTATATTTTGAAAAACTGGGAAAAATAAAAAACCTGGCCAATATCAGCCATCCGGAGAAGACTTAAAAGCAGGTTTTAAGGAAAAGATTAGGTTTTTTACAACTTTATTTTTTAAAGACTAGTGATACTAAATTGTTTGATCCTTCGACTTTCAATTTTTGCAACTCAAATGTCAACAAATTCACTGTTTGTGTGAAATCAGTTTTCAGTTTTGGATGAGCAGGAGAACAGATGTATCTTCCGATAAAAAATGATGGAATCGGTAAAATCTAGATAAATCGATAAACTAAATGAGTGTGTCACAGATTTCTACCAATTGATGGATACAATCAATGTCAATCAAATCAGATTTACCAATTTTTATTGATTTATCGATTGATAAATTGATACCTATTTTTATCGATTGACTACTTCGGGTGTTGAGCAAACTTGTGAAGTTCAGTCGCGCCAAAGTTGACAACTACATCCCATAGTTCGCAGTTGATTTCCTATAAACTCGCTACGTAATTTGGCTACTTCATGATGTGGTACCCAATTTCCAAATGAACTTCATAATGTGGCGTGGTAAATAGTGTGAAAGCAACTGTCACAGAATGATACTAAAATTGTGACACAGCCCCTTTAAGTCTTCATCTACCAGCAGTGAAGTTAAACTGGTAAAACTGCTTCTATTATCCTGTATTACACTGCAGGTCTATGCAAGCATCATAT